ATATGATGGTGAGATCAGTTTGCACGTCGCTAGACAATTAAACTCCTGTTCAATTAAAAAACTGACCTAATAATATACCGTTTCGATCAAGCCTTATGGTTCGGGATCCGATTTTCCCGGATATTCTTGTAATAGATACCACCAATGAGTTCTATCGATGATGTGAAAAACCCTGCAGAGATTGTGACGCTCTTATGTATTCACTTAGGAACTACAGCTCTATCACTATTCAAAACTCCAATAAACGAAGGAATATACGTCAATTTCGGTCATGGTCCGCGGTTAGCAGGAGCTCGCAACGTGTTTCGTTCAGGTTGGTGTCATATGGAAGGTCTGGAGTAATCTTAAGCTGCCTAGTAATATCGTAATTTGTTTGGTGTTAACCTAATGTTTATCCTGTCCACTAAATCTCACAATTTCCTTGTTTCCGTGCTCACGTCCAACTGTCAAAGACTAAAATTCGAAGTCAAACATGCCCTCAGCTCTTGAAGTCCTCTCGAAGGCTAGACCAGTCCAAATGAACCCTCCCGTCCGAATTGGAGATAAATGAATGTGCACATTGTGAGGTGCCATCATCGTAAGCGAAACTACCACTAGCCTCTACTGGAATACCATTTAGAAAATAAATTCCCTGCAGTTCTCCAGAAAAGGTAGTTAAATAGTGAATCTTGCATTTGCCTTGAAGCCACCTCCTCGACGTTCAATCACCCATGTGCATAACTTACTAGCTGAAAAACTTCGATGTGGTTTCGCGGAACGATGCTGATGAGCGACTTCTGCGAGACAATTGACCTCCACAAAGTTATCAAGTGGCTTTCTTCTCTGGCAAATTCTTTTGTCGTTTTCATAATATGGCCCTTCAACTTGAAAGATGCACGCCAGAGAATTTATGCTATCTTGAAATGCTCGAGGCCTTAGTCCGTCAGCCATTGGTTATTCATATCTAGTCCGCTAGCTTTTAAGTCGGATCTCACCACATGCGAACTTTCAAGTGTTTTGTGTTGATACTGAAAATTCAGAAACTGATGCTGAAGAAAACCCATCGAAAAGTCAAGAAGAATGGCGTCAATAAATGTGTGGAAGTTTGCTGCTATCTAGCCAACCCATGTGGTAAATGGCTTAAAAATCCACCATGAGTTGTTCCCAAATTTTAGCCCAGTGAAATCAGTGTCAAGTTAACATGTGTTCTCGGGATCTGTTTCCGCTATTACAGCAACATTCCTAGTCGTGTGGAAGTTGGCTGTGGTTCACATCATTTTGGAAAGTTTTTGACAACACCGGTTTTTGACGTCAGCCGGGTTGCATGAAACAATCGATTGCAGACCCCTTTGTATCACAGGCATCTAGATTGTTTACGTTGCACAGGTGGAGGAAATATGTTCATAAAAATGTGAGCAATGGCAGGCAGGTAAACGGGTAGCAATGACAAAGACTATATCACATAGGCATCATGAAATGGTCGGTGAAAAGATGCAGTGTTTTTAGGCGTATATTTCAAGAGTACCCTAAAACTTAAAGAAACCCTTGGGGATTCGCAAGCTACCCTGGTTGGAAATTCACTCATCTTAGTACGAAACCTACTGACTGTTAAGTTTATCAGAAGTTGAAGGCTTCAATCAGTCTTTAGCTTAAGTAAAATGGGATGTTTCTACCTCTATCTCTTCTCTGCTCCTACTCTCTGGGCCTAAACGCCCTAGTGTTTTGACGTGAAGTCGCACGCATTCCACACTTGAGCATCCAAAGCAATCTTACTGAAACTCAAATAGATACCTCGGTATTTCAGCGGCACTAAATTTCGCAGTAGTTTTTGGTTAAGAAATCGGAATGAAGGACTGGGTGTAGTACACGCTTGAATATCTGGGTATCACCCTGTTAACACTCAACAGTCCTTTAGAACCAATAGGTAGTTAAACGGCAAAACATATTGATGTAGCAAACATTCCTATAGTTATCCTTTTCCAATGTTCACTTTGGTTGCCCAGATAGTGCTCCCGCATTGCGGTAGAGAATGGACTATTTGGCCTTTGGTTTCCGGTTTCAGTGAATCTATGATCACTTAGGACATCTTTCACTGTTTTGGGAAACCACAAGGTGATTTGAAACCCCTCAGTCGTTCTCTAAACAATAACCTTGGGCTGCAGATCATTCTTCGCTAGGATTGTGCACTCGTCCAGTAGATGGGACGCCAGGATAGGGTGTTCAAAGCCCTGGTGATTTCTCGGTGGGAACATAAATATCATGGCCATCGTCGGGAAGAGTGTTGGAACAAAATATCATATAACTCGGTATCGGCGCAATCAGACTTTTGAGTTCATCGGCCGAAAACATTCACCGTTTATCCAAAATGCGATGTGCTCCATATTTGGTAACTTACGCTTATAGGATGGAGGTTCTCTGATCTGCAAGATGTTTCCTTTTAGATACAACTTGTGTCTCCCAGACGTCACACTATCCGAAAATATGCCAGTAAATGGAATAACATTTACACAACGCAGCTGTAAGCTACAGTAGGCAGTGTTCCTCAATTCTTCTTTCGGGCGTGGGATCTATCATACGATATTTTCTCCCGAAGTTACTTTCTTCATAAGCTAAATTATTACTCTCCCAAAGTGGTCATTTGATTCTCTGTCAAATCAGGAGTAATGCAATCGGGCGACAGAGTGCACCAAGCGCATCGGTCACAACAACTCTTCTTCTCAGTGCTCTTGATGCGTTCTTCGTGATACATTTAATAATTGACCAAAGACTAAGGTGGTTCTGCATCCATTCCTATTTTGTGTGAAACACTCCATCATGAATTGTCAATGCATCAGGTGTCGTGTAAAAAGGGTTACGAGGAAAAGATCTCTGCAACTTCGAAAACTGACTAGTTCGAATTAGAGACAATCTGGTCGTCTTCTCTGGGCAGGTTGATCAATTGAGCTAAAGACATTGAAAAACAGATACCAAAGTAGACAGAGAACTGCAGCAAATTTTCCAAGTATGAACTTGAAACGACTCAGTTGATGGTAGCACCGTAGTTTGATCAAACGAACGCAACTACCGAGTATCAAACACCAACAACAGTTGGTTTGTCACACAGTGACTTCACGTTGTAATTAGCAAGCGTTTGCCTAAGGCCCATGTGAGACTGAATTAATCCAAATGCAATTGCCGATATATTATCCATGGCCCAAATGAATTTCCTCACTAGAAAGGGAATGCATGGTTGGTAGGATAAAGCATATTTCTATGTAGAATATTCCAGTCGTTTAGATGTTCACCTAAATGTGGTCGCTTTTTGAAGTTGAACCAACAGGATGAACCATCCATCATGAAGCCCATTCATCCAGGTTCCGAATAATGGATGTGGGAATACCAGATTGTCGGCACGTAAAATAGCTCTGAATCTAAGAGAATTTCTAGTGATTGATGGCTCAGGCGAAAGTAATCACGATAAGTAGGAATCAAATTGTGGAATTTTATGCGAATATAACGGAAATCTATTTCATTTTGTGCAGAGACCGCACATCCTTTTATTTAACGGACTAAAGTTGCATTGCATACCAATGGATAGCCTACATTTCGTCACCGTTTACTTATTGATAATTTGGTGAGGTAACATATAGTATCGAATTCGCGTAAACATGCAGTTGGGGTCCAACTATAAACCACAAGCAATAATCATTATATAATCACCATGATACTAAGTGAGACACGCTCTATCCATCATTGCACACAACAGCGTGAAACTGATGTCGAGAGATTTTGGCGGTTTGGCGACGAATGAATTACACTAATTGATGGAACTCTCGAAGAATATCAACAAAATATTTCGTAATGTGAAATTTGCCATATTTGCAGAACTAGCATACTGAGCGTCCACATTCGTCATCCTATTTTGGCTGGAATCCCGAGAGGCATTGTACAACCGTCTCACCCTGATTGAGAATCATCAGCATTGCGCATTCCATAAGACTCCATTAGGGGTTTCGAATCCGCCGCCTCGCGATGGTGGAGGAGGACCTCTATCGTTGGACCATAGCGGTTGATCAGCAGTGTGATTTGGTGGTCCTTCGAGAGAACCTCATTCATTCTTCAGTAGCTGTGCCAACAGCGCATCTCGAATGGTGACTTCTGAGATGGATGATTCACTTATCGAGTGATTTGCATTCTCCCTAGGAAACTTGAATCTCGTTGGAACCTTATGCGAAGTGTTTTACGATTCGCACCCACAATTTTAAGTACCATCTTAACATTTTCCACTCAATGGTTTCGGACCGAAATCAATGCGCTGAGAGTTTATCATTTAATCTTCCACAGGATTAAATCCACCCTAGGGGATTTTCAATAATCCGTTAGAAAATTCTTCAGAACGGCATTCATGGGTGCGCAAATTTAAAATCTTTTAAAGGTGACACAACTGCCCCTGAGTGAGCTTATTGCAGAGATTCCTCCAGGTGTTGGGCACCTACTCATTTGGATTTGAACTGCTTCAGCTGAATCAGCCATATCACAAGTACAATAGTGGAGAGTCAGGCCACTGCGTATATGGCATATTTGGCGCAAATCATTTGTGGTACACCACCACCTCTTTTGTCCTAGCAAACAGCCACAATGTGACTGCTTTACAAAATGAAACAAGGGACATCCTAAAACACGGACGGATGGACCTATTCTAACCAACTGAGGGTATTCCATTCATTCTTGCGACAAATCTAGCACGTGAGAAATGTCGATTGAATCCGCAAAGCTGATTGGACATCATGTGATAAACGTTCAGCGCTATAAAGAACCATATACAAACTTGGGAATTTCAACTCAGGAAATATGGATGGCCACGAGGAGAATGAAGAGTGATCTTCGTAAGTCGACCAGAAAAAAGCGGAAAATTCGAGAATAATGCGGATTAAAAAACAAGATCTGGTGTATGCATTTGCGATAGCTAAATGATTTCATGATTATCACAACGAAAGCTGAATAAACACTACTCATATTTTCAATAATTTCATGTTACTTACCCCAACCATTATTGCGAATATAACAGATCAGAGAAGAGTTCAAATACTTCATGTGTTTGGCAGTTTGTTCGGGACCATCCTCCATATACATTCCATCAGAAAATGTTCCGTGGCATAGGATGACCGTTTCCGGTGCATGACACTCCGAAAGCATTCCGGGAGTTCACTTATTCGACCGTGTTTGCGATTTTCGTTACATGGACATACGGGAGTATGCTAACCACCGTGGGGCTGAACGAAATCTGACTTGGTCTACATATGATTAAGCCTTAATAGCATCCGCGTTGTAATGTAGATATCATGCCTCATCGAAACCAACCAGCTGGCGAAGCCTGTATTTGTTTCCTGAAAGAGAGCATGGAGTCGTTCACTGGAGACTCTTGTATGTAATTTATAATTGGCAACTCGCATCACTAAGGTGATATGCACTTGAGAAGAGGCGTAAATGGCAACTTACACTTTGCTGCGGGAAGCAAAGCACGGTGTTGCATCCACGATTGTGAGTTATTCACTTATTGTGTTTGACGCCGCAGAGCATGTGGTCATCTTTTTACTTGAGAGAAATGTGTAACTCAAACAAGAAAATTTTATCAGAATCCCGTTTAACTAACCTCAATATTCTTCAGTTGCTTTGCTGATGTGCTGAAAAAGAGTTGAAATGCTGAGCNAAATGCAATTGCCGATATATTATCCATGGTACAAATGCATTTCTTCACTAGAAAAGGAATGCGTGTTTGGTAGGATAAAGGATGTTTCCATGTAGAATATTCCAGTCATCTGAGATGTTCCCCTAAATGTGAGTTGCTCGCTTTTTGTAAGTTCGACCAACAGGATGAACCATCCATCATGAAGCCCATTCATCCAGTTTCCGAATAATGGATGTGGGAATACCACATGGTCGACACGTAAAATAGCTCTGAATCTAAGAGGATTTCTAGTGATTGATGGCTCAGGCGAAAGTAGGAAACAGATTGTGGAATTTTATGCGAATATAACGAAAACCTATTTCATTTTGTGCAGAGACTGCACATCCTTTCATTTAACGAACTAAGGGTGCATTGCGTAACAATGGACAGCCTACATTTCGTCACCGTTTACTTATTGAAAATTTGGTGAGGTAACATATAGTATCGAATTCGCGTAAACAGGCAGTTGGGGTCCAACTATAAACCACAAGCAATAATCATTATATAATCACCATGATACTAAGTGAGACACGCTCTATCCATCATTGCACACAACAGCGTGAAACTGATGTCGATAGATTTTGGCGGTTTGGCGACGAATGAATTACACTAATTGATGGAACTCTCGAAGAATATCAACAAAATATTTCGTAATGTGAAATTTGCCATATTTGCAGAACTAGCATACTGAGCGTCCACATTCGTCATCCTATTTTGGCTGGAGTCCCGAGAGGCATTGTACAACCGTCTCACCCCGTCTGATCAAAAGTGCGCATTCCATAATACTCCATTGGGGGTTTCGAATCCGCCGCCTCGCGATGGTGGAGGAGGACCTCTATCGTTGGACCATAGCGGTTGATCAGCAGTGTGATTTGGTGGTCCTTCGAGAGAACCTCATTCATTCTTCACCAGCTGTGCCAACAGCGCATCTCGAATGGTGACTTCTGAGATGGATGATTCACTTATCGAGTGACTTGCATTCTCCCTAGGAAACTTGAATCTCGTTGGAACCTTATGCGAAGTGTTTTACGATTCGCACCCACAATTTTAAGTACCATCTTAACATTTTCCACTCAATGGTTTCGGACCGAAATCAATGCGCTGAGAGTTTATCATTTAATCTTCCACAGGATTAAATCCACCCTAGGGGATTTTCAATAATCCGTTAGAAAATTCTTCAGAACGGCATTCATGGGTGCGCAAATTTAAAATCTTTTAAAGGTGACACAACTGCCCCTGAGTGAGCTTATTGCAGAGATTCCTCCAGGTGTTGGGCACCTACTCATTTGGATTTGAACTGCTTCAGCTGAATCAGCCATATCACAAGTACAATAGTGGAGAGTCAGGCCACTGCGTATATGGCATATTCGGCGCAAATCATTTGTGGTACACCACCACTTTTGTCCTTGCAAACAGCCAAAATGTGACAGCTTTACAAAATGAAACAAGGGACATCCTAAAACACGGACGGACGGACCTATTCTAAACAACTGAGGGTATTCCATTCATTCTTGCGACAAATCTAGCACGTGAGAAATGTCGATTGAATCCGCAAAGCTGATTGGACATCATGTGATAAACGTTCAGCGCTATAAAGAACCATATACAAACTTGGGAATTTCAACTCAGGAAATATGGATGGCCACGAGGAGAATGAAGAGTGATCTTCGTAAGTCGACCAGAAAAAAGCGGAAAATTCGAGAATAATGCGGATTAAAAACAAGATCTGGTGTATGCATTTGCGATAGCTAAATGATTTCATGATTATCACAACGAAAGCTGAATAAACACTACTCATATTTTCAATAATTTCATGTTACTTACCCCAACCATTATTGCGAATATAACAGATCAGAGAAGAGTTCAAATACTTCATGTGTTTGGCAGTTTGTTCAGGACCATCCTCCATATATATTCCACCAGAAAATGTTCCGAGGCATAGGATGACCGTTTCCGGTGCATGACACTCCGAAAGCATTCCGGGAGTTCAAGTATTCGGCCGTGTTTGCGATTTTCGTTACATGGACATACGGGAGTATGTTAACCACCGTGAGGCTGAACGAAATCTGACTTGGTCTACATATGGTTAAGCCTTAATAGCATCCGCGTTGTAATGTAGATATCATGCCTCATCGAAACCAACCAGCTGGCGAAGCCTGTATTTGTTTCCTGAGAGAGAGCATGGAGTCGTTCACTGGTGACTCTTGTATGTAATTTATAATTGGCAACTCGCATCACTAAGCTGATATGCACTTGAGCAGAGGCGAAAATGGCACCTTACACTTTGCTGCGGGAAGCAAAGCACGGTGTTGCATCCACGATTGTGAGTTATTCACTTATTGTGTTTGACGCCGCAGAGCATGTG